GTGTGGAGAAAAAAACTTGACATGATAGAAGAAAACTAACTTCAGTTTTGAAATCATCATGCCTATTTAACTGTAAAGCAGCTCAAAAATCGAACTCAGCAGATATTGTGTTGCAAATTATTCCTCAGTATAATCTTTTTCCTCTGCTGTATTGCCCATTTCTCTTAATTGTTTTCCAAAACAGTCCAGCCTATGATGCCAAGAAAATCTGACAAAGGGAGACAAAAAAGATCCAAAAAAATTCTTTTATTTGTAGGCATTTTCCCCAATTTTTCTTATTCGAACTTCCGTCGCTAAATGCATTTCTCTTCAACTTGAAAATCTCTGTTGCAGCCCGATTTCGTATTTCTTGACTTTCTTCATTTGCTAAAAGCAAAAACGCAGCTGTATAACTTTTTCTTCAAGTAAATGCCATAATAATAATAATTTAAAAAATTCAAAAGCATAAGCGATAAAGTAAACAGTGCAACAAATAAGCAGTAAGCAAGCCACAAAGCAGTGTATTACATGCAAAAAAGAACACAGAACTTGGGGAAATAAAAATTTCTGTGGCCGTTTAAAAAGAAGTTGGTCATCGGAGAGTGTTGACATAACCATGCAGTTCAGCAGAAAGTATATGCATTATGGTGTCTTTACACCAAGCATATAGTTAAGCTATAGTACTACTATAGTTAGCAAGTTCCCTGCAAGTTCGAGCTTTTTGCATTGAAAATAAGCACTCATAACAGGCTAGAATATCGCAGTGAATTGTACATTACCCATTTCGCTTGTACATAACTTACAATCTAAACTAGTGAAATTCTAAAGAGAGAGGGAAAGTAAAATTTCTTCAGATATGTCACAGACCTAAATTTTCAACTTTTAATGGTATACTAGTTTTTATATCGAGAAGCTTCTTTCAACATTAACTACACTTATTGGAGTGTATTTGAAAAATCTGCATTACTTGTTGTTAACTTTTCGTCAGTTTCAAATGAGTCTGCTTCTTCTCTCAAAATGATGTATCTGTTCCATACAGTTTAGAAGCCACTGTGTTTAGTCAAAACAGCACTAAATTTAGCAAATGAAGTAATTGAAATTTTGCCTATGGCCTTTTTTTAAAGTGTTGACATTCTATCAGTGTAATTTATTGCATCGGCAAGTTCTGTATTTTGCTCTTGTAAAGATTCAATAGTTCAAATTAGGAAAAAAGGATTTTAATGGACGTAGAAAAATGTATTTCATACAACTGTGAGTCTGTTTTTCCCCTTTGCATGTAACCTATAGACATGGACATGCAAAGTTTTAAAGAGCTAAGAAATGCCAGTATGAGCAAAATTCTGAAAAGTTACAGTCACTTCTTGTGGAAAAAGCATGTTGTGATAGATAGAAGTAAGAGATTACATAATGATTTTATTATTTTTTTTTTAATAGGACATCCATGCCTAGTAAAAATGAGTTCATAGGTATTAAAGCAGTATTATTTCAAGAATTAATTTATTTTTCAGTTTAATTCCATGTTTGATCCAAATTTTCAATTAACCTATATTCAGTTACCATAAACATCATTTATTTACTAAATGGCCAGTTTTAATACTCTTAACGCATTGTTGTTTTCTGTAAAATTTCTTAGTGTAGTCAAAATCATAACAATTGTAACATTTTGTAATTTCTCTGAATTTTTAACAGCATTAACAATATCTATTTTACTAAGTTGTATAACATTTTTAAAAGGCACTGAATCAATAGCTATAATCCAGTGGTTTTTTTGTTTATTTTATTTTTATAGGAAATTTAATATCAGATTTACTTTTTATTAGGAACCATTGATTTTTATCTATTTTACTAAGTTGTATAACATTTTTAAAGGGCACTGAATCAATAGCTATAATCCAGTGGTTTTTTGTTTGTTTGTTTGTTTTATTTTTTTTAGGAAATTTAATATCAGTTTTACTTTTTATTAGGAACTGCTGATTTTTATCAATATCTTTATTTCATTCAACCTGTCAATAATTTCTGTTTTTAATCAGTCTTAAACTTCAGGAAAAAAAAAAAAAAAAGAATAACTGAAATATTGGGAGTTGATACTACTACCCACAAGATGTGATCTATCTACTTTCAGCAATTTTTGTAATGATTTTGAAAAGATTTATATGTAAACAAACCTTTGAATTTTATTTTCTAATAGGTTCAGTCTGATAGCCCTTTTGTTTAACTATCATATTACATCTTCATTTCTAAGATAAAAGTCTTTTTCTTAAAACATCAAGGTTGATTTTATTTCTCTCCTTCTTCAGTCTTCCATAGTCCATCCAGTGTTTTGGAACACTTATAAAGAGATTATTTTAAAAGTTCAAATGCATAGTAATCCATAGGAGACACATCAGGGGACTTAGGTGGAATGTGTTTAAAGGGAATAGCTTTGATTCCAGTTTCATTTCTCATTTTTTACAAAACATGGAGCAGTAGATTTAAGAGGTGTGGCTTGGAGCCTTATCCTGATGGAATTTAACGCAGTGAAGATTGTTTGGATAAAGAGATAGAATTTCTTCTTTGAAAATAAGTATTAAAACATATTTCTCATAGTAATCTGAATTAATTTTGACATTTTTTTCTACTTTCTTACTTCAAATTTTCTGTTATAAGAGACTCCAGTAATAACCATAAAAACTTTCCTCATTTTCTCTGAACCAACATATAGACTTTTTCTTCTCTTTTTTGGTAGTAAATCAATCTTTTTCTATTGTAATCAAATAAGTATATCCAAGCCTCATCAATTGTAACTATATATTTCCATTTTTCACCTGCCAAATAATTTTCATACAGTAATCTGCACATAGTCTTACTCTGAATAACATGTTTCGGCATTAACATCATGAACATCGTGTTTTTTTTTTTTTTTTTTTTTTTTTTTTTTTTTATTAGCTTTAAATCAGATTTTATAATTTTGTTCACAGTTCCTATAGAGATATTTAAAGATTTTGCAATAGCTCTTTGGGGTGCTGGATGTTCCTTTAAAACATGAGATAGGACTTTAGATTTAATAAGAGCTGTATGTACCTTTGTTGGGTATGCATTTTTTGCCTTTTTCCTAGTCAGATGTAAACTTTAATGTTTCTTTCCTTTAATATAAATTATGTCACTTATTTTACATGTAGAAACATTAAAACTGCACTTTTCACATCTTTTTTTAATAATTAATAAACATACTTCTCTTCGGACACTGCAAAAAATATAGCCTTCGATCCATTGTTTATTTTTCAGCGACATTTTAAAGAAAAGAATATTTCTAATGCTGCAGGCAATAATTAAACCTTATTTCAAACTGATGTCAGTCACATTTGTAGTTTAAAATTAATATTTAAATACATGGAGAAAATCGAAATTATTACAAAAATGTACGAACACCATCTGTATTCGCCAGACTTCAATATTGCTGAACATATTTGGACACTGTCAGTAGTTGTAAGATGACAGTAAAGAGGAGAACTAAAAGAATTTTATCATTCTTAATCAAACATTAGCAATATAACCTTGCTGTTCTCGGACATGTAATATGCCGATTCTCTTTACCTCCAATTGCAGTGCTATAATGCATAAAATGTTATGCTTCAAACTTTGCATATGCATCCATCTTGATGTTTGGATTTCTTTATGTTTATTATTCAATGAATCATACATGGATAAAGATTATCTGTGGAAATGCCATGAGTTGGCATGTTACTAAAAAAGCATCACCCTCATCTCTATTGTCACATCATCATTTAACATATACATAGTTGACTGCTTCATATGTTTAATAGTAGCATACAAAAACTCTCATGTGCGATAAGAAATGACAATGCATACAGTATTATTTTTTTTAACTTATCCTAAGTGGAAATTTAAATGTTTGCTGCATTTTTCTCAGTCTGGATCATTGCCTCTGTTTTCCTGGTTGACTTTTTTGGTGGAGAGTTGAGAGATCAGTTATATGCATCAAGTTAGGCAGGTTGCATTTTAAGGTGTGTTTTTTAACAAAGGTTTAAATCATTTAAAAAAAATTTCCAAATTTATATTATTTTGCTTTTACATAATCATGCAAATTTGCATTTTTATCAAAAAAATAATAGCAGTAACTATCGGGAAAATTTTAATACAAAAATTTAAAATCCATTGATAAAAATAGCAATGGTTTCTTTTAATTTAGATTTTTAATTCTTTAAAATTTAAACTTCAGAAATTCGAAATTTTCAAATTTTTCTTCAATATTAAACTTCAAAAAGAAAGGTTAAATTAAAGAAGAATAGTAATCTAAAATTAATTATATTTTGTGATTACGCTTATCAAAAATCTGAATTGATTGCTATTATTTTCATAGCTCTCTACTCTTCCATTTTTTTAATCACATCTCTTTGTTACCTGGTATGTCTCCAAATCATGCAGTTTTTAATTTTTAGCCTCTGTTAATGAAAATTTTTGTAGAAATAAATTTATTCAATTAATGAAATTAAAATTATGTACTGAACTTAAATTCCATTCCTTAACCGCTAGTGATTGAGATGTTTTTTAGTAAATTTTATTGGATCTGAATTATCTTAATCTATTGTACTATTTGTAATCTATATGTAGAAATTTTATGAAGATTTAAGCTGAGTTTAATCAATTAACATTCTTATTTAATTTTGTTTTATATGAATACATAGTACACTGCTAAATTTATATACATTAACTATTAATTTTACTTTTTATTGTAATTAAAAGTACTTGGATAAATAAAAGCTTTCTTTCCATACTCAGGATTTCCATAGTATATAAAAGTGTAAGAAGCTTGCAAAATGAAATTAGTCAAAGAATGTAAATTTTAGAATATCTAATTAAATATTAAGATATGTTATATCAGAATCATATTATAAATAGTTCAGTAATATAAATTATGCATTATAAAGTGAAATTTTGTCAAAATGGCAAAAACCTTCCTGTTTTTCATTTTTTTATGCCATAGCAGAAATCATGTTCTGTTCTTTCTCATTTAATTTTAGGAATTTTGCAAAAGTTTTTAGAATTTATGCAGAACTTAGAACTAAAGATTTCACAACTGCTCGAGACAATTTGAAGTATTTTTAATTTCTGCCTAACTGCATTTTTTACTTTGAATATTAGATATATGTATTCCAAAATTATTAATATATCATCTTGTAAATTTAAATTTTTAAAACAGTGTTTTAAGTAACCTTACTGAAATTCTGTAGGTCTTGTATTCTTTCATTTTTTAACTTTAGAATGGCGTACTTATTAAGAAGAATTTGCCAGCTATCACAGAAAATTTCTAGAAACTGTGTGCAACCTCCTTTCATGCAAAGAAGCTTAAGTATTGGAAGATGTCATTTTGATAATTATGAAGGTGATGGTAAGACTACTGTAACAGTTTTAAACAAGGAACATAAACATTTAGTTATGATTGATTCTTACAGCAATATGGGATTCCGTCTAAATCAAGGTATCTTTGTTATGGGACCAGTGGCTGTGTTTCCAAGGTCTATTATGCAATGGAATGTTGAAGATGCAACAAATTTAAAACCAGAATCTCTAACTTTGTTCTGTTTGCTGGAACCTAAACTAGATCTTCTGGTGATTGGTACTGGAAGCAAGAGAGTGCAGCCAAGTCGGGACATTCTTGAATATTTGAAAGCAAATAAAATAAGTACTGAAGTATTACCTACTGATCAAGCTTGTTCTATATTTAACTTCCTAAATGTTGAAGGCAGATGCGTTGCTGGAGCTTTTATACCTCCAGAAAGAGTTACAGTATATGAAGAGGAATTGGAATTAGTATACAAAGTTGAGGCCATGGATGATTATCAAATCGCCCTAGATAAAAATAAGATGTAACTTTAAAGTATAATGTTGTCTTTCATGTTAACAGTTTTTGTAAAATTGTAGGTGCATATGAACTTAAAAACCTTCATTGTTTAATTAATTTAATATGTGTATTACAGATTGTATGAATCACTTTCTGAAACAATAAATAACTGCAAAAACTATGATAGCGTATGCTGCAATATATAAGAAATCAGTGAATTCTCTAACAAGATCTCCTAAAATAGAATTCTGTAGAAGACATTTGAGCAAAGATTTATAGTGAAATGGATTGAATTAGTTGTATCTGGGTACTATTTGGTTTTGAGGACCGTCAAAAATTGCCAAACTATTGTTGATGCCAGTGCTGCCAAAAAAAAAAAAAATAATGTGGAACCTAAGCAAGAAAGGAAGTAAATAACATCTAAGGACTGATGTTTTTAATTAGATGAAAAAGTTAATTTCATATAGACATTTTTATTATTATAATGTTATAAAAAAAGGCAAACATGACTGAATGGAAGCATAAGAGTAATAACTAATTTCAGATCATATTATATTTATATAAATTGCTAAACATAACGAATGGATCCTGCATCGCTATTCGCTACCGAGTTATCGCTAAAGCATAATTTCATCTTGTTTGGGTTGTTCAAACTAATTTTCTATAATGAATGATGCCTTTTCTTTGAAAAAATTCTCGGTTAATGCAGAATCGCCATTATTTGTTTCCGCTTTTACAGGGGTAAAAACAATTGGATTTTTGTCAATTCTTTATTTCTAGGAAAATAGGTTGATGTGTACATAGATACCGAATATGTGCAATTCTTAAAAACACGTCAAGCAGTGGGTGATTCTGCACTTTACCCAAAATTCTATCGCACATTTTTCATCATGGGCAATTCCCAAATTGTTAAATACATAGGATATCAAAAGAGGATTTAAAAATTAAACTAGTATTCCAATGGCGTCTTAAGAAATATAGAACTATATAAACTTATGCAGTCTGAAATCAGTGCGTACACTAGATTTGGCGAGCTGTTAGATGGGCGTGTTTGCTAGATTTGGTGCTTTTGTGCATACATTTTCGCTGCAATTTTTTTACGGCCTTCTAAACAGAATAGTACCTGTATCTTTTATAAGTTTAGCTTTGTTTTTCTGATAAGAGTGATTATACAGGTAAACCCTGGCTCTGTAGAAAACTTATGCATGTTGTCTGAGAAAGGAAACTTCAGGCTTTATTTCCTTAAATGTCATCTTATACTAAATACAAACAAAAAGTTCAATCTAAAAAATACCTTTTTAAGAAATTAGTTTCACACTGTAATTAATGGAAATATTAGAGAATAAATTTGCTTTTCATGGATTCGTTTTTCTTAGATTATGTTTTTATATCTAAAATAATAATAATTTTGGTAATATATTTTGATTTGATTGGGAAAATTGCTTCATTTTGTCAACTATGGTTCCATTTTGAGTAAAATAGCACTAATTTGCCATGAAATTTTTATTAGCTGATTCTATGAAAGCTTTAATTGCTAAAATTTCTATGATCTTTGCGTGTAAATATATAGAATTTTTTAATATTTAACTTACTAAAGCTTGATGGATGTCATATTGGATTTTTTTTGCTGTTTAGGAATCACATAGAAAGGTAGACTTTGTATTTATGAAACATTTCTACACTCTTCCCAGTGTTCTAACCATTTTGGCAATTTTTTTAAGTGAATAAAGCCTATAACACCTCTTTTTTTTTTAACATGTTGTATATTGTATTCAGTTGACATAGCTAAGTTTAGCAGATATGAATTTTAAAAGCCTAAAATATATAGTATTCAAATATTACAGAGGCTGTTTACACATTTTTAGAACGATTTCGAAACTGTTTAGTGAATGTTTAAAATGTGAAGAATGCTTTTTTAAATGTTTGATCTGATACCTTTTTTCTAGACTTTAAATCGGCATTGTGATTTCCATGACAGAAGGTGTTTTTTTTTTTTTTGTTTTGTTTTGTTTTGTAAAATTTTTATTCCTCTTCCACTATTTTACAGAGTATCAAGCATAATGAGTTTGCTTTTAGAAAGAGCTCTTTTCAAGAGATCAGAGGCTCAATAATCAATAGGTGAAACCACAGGGATCTTCAGGAATATGTTGAAAAGGTGTATAAATGCAATACCTGTATCACTGTTCATTTTTTTTTCATGGAATGCAGTGATACTTTTCGAAGTGTGTCTTTAATTTTTCTTTGGTGAAGTTTCATTCTCTGAAAGTGATTAGGGGAATTTCTTCTCTTAATATTGATAACATTGATGTAATCTTTCTCTTGATAGTACATAAAGTTGATTTTGACTTGCATCCCCCCCCCACTCTTCTTTTTAATTTCCAGTTGCAAGGGAATCCTGTGACAATCATAAACCCTTTATTGAAACTTTCTTTGCATTGACAGAACCAGGTTTGTACTTTTTTCTCTTCATTTTTGATAATAAATAGATATTTCTTTATCGCAGTCATTTTGCTTCATCAAGGGTTACAAAGTATTTCCTAATAGTTTTTATACGAGGTTCCACAAATTTTTCTCATCAAGCCCTATATCTCAGCGAAAGCTGGTGAACATTATATTTTCCAGCTTTTTAAAGTTGAAATCTTGGTTTATTATTATTTTATTTATTGTTTCTACAAATGTATTTAAACACTTTGCAATTGTATCATCAGATTTTCTCTTGTTACCAATAATTTAACTTTAGAAACAGTGCATACTTTTTTGGAGTATTTGTTTGGAGTCTCCTTTCCATATAAATGTAATGATTGACAGTTTTCCCTTTCTGATTAATAATGTTACTTATTTTGCACTTTGCAACATATATGAAATAGGAATCAGAAATAAGAAAGTTCAAAAACATATCCTTCAATCCACAGCTTATTTACATGCAACATTTTGAAAGAGGAATAAATTTAAAAGTAGCACACTGTATTTCTCATTTAAAATAATAAGCTGCTGCCAGAAATTTTTATTCCATACTTTTTTTTTTTTTTTTTTTTTTTTTTTTTTTTTTTTAAAGATTCTATCGACATCATTCTAAAAATGTGCAAACATCCTTACTATTTCATAGCTATCTCAAGATATAAGCAGCCGGTTAAAGTAGATTCATTTGGTTTAATATTTGAATTGAGATGCTGCATTACTAAATACAGCATTTTCACAGTACAGCAAGTACATGATAATATTTGATAGATTGGATAAATTCCTTATGATAAGGCATCTGGGTTCTCTGCATATGGGAAAGAAAGGATGCTTTTTAAGGTAAACTAGCATGATTTATATTTACATTACTAGTATAATGTTTGAAGGAAACTGCAAGCAGCTAGGGCATAGGTTATATTCCTGATGGTGACTAGCGTGTTATGTCTTTAGCCTTTCAGTTATAGATTTGATATTAATATTATCAGAAGCTTTCATATGAAATGAGTCCCAAGCAATCCATTTCTATGTACTGCAGATAAAGTTGTCTTTCTATTTTGTAATATTATAATTTGATATTAGTTGAAATCTCAGATTTATTATTCTAAACTGTGCAATTTCAGTTCTGGGGAATGTATCAGTCATATTCTTGTGCCTAACCAAAGTCAAAACTAAGCTATCAGTAATTGTATGCTATGAGTTGCTGCATCTCCACAAATCTATATGCCAAGAAATTTTTTACCTGCTTGCTTTTCTACCATTCAGCTGAATTGAATTTTCTGAAAAAGATGCATGTAACTTTTTTCATTTTTAAGATATTCTTTGCTAATAAAATATTAAATATATTTTATATTTAGGCACATAAACTGAAAAAAATCTGATGTGTACACCACATGACTTCCGTACAGATATTAAATTATACGCATTGTTTCTCGCATTTCTTTTAAACTTATGGATTTAATTAAATCTACTTCACTGACAGCGCATAAACCACAATGAATAAAGGAATTCTTTAAAATTCACTCTATTTGTTAACATAGCGACACTCGGCTAGGTTCACTTAACAGTATATATTACACTCATAATAACTCAGAATGCACAAAAGTTATATCATCTAAAGAATATCTAATCGTTGCCACATGTTCTTTCAAATCTATAATAAGCTAGAACGATTGTAAAAAGAAATTAAGCAAACAAAATAAAAAAGAAACAGTTTTTCACAGCGATGAGTAGTTCTCATTCAATTAATTCAGTTTTCACTTTGCGACAAGACAAAAAATACAAAAAGCTCAAATATCGGTATTAAAAATTAAATTACTATTATTAAAAGAGTAAATCTTAACACTTATTTCCTCGAAAAATTTCAGAAAGGATTAAGCATGATTTAATTCGCAATAATAAATGAGGGCGTTATTTTTGTTGTGCAAAGCTTAGTCCCAGATTGAAACAAATCTACAATTCTGCTGTTTCAAATGTAAACAAATATGTCCGCCAGTTATTTAAAACTTAACCGCACTTAAACAGCTTTTAAAATTGTGATAATTGTACAAATATTGCTTCCAGAATTACAAAGTCATAAAAACTTTACCGGAATAAAAAACAGCATAATTCAATCATTTTTTAACAAACAAATATACAATTTACAAACTATAAGAGTAAAGAAATGAGATCACCGAGCCGGGTAACAGATGGTATAATATAAATATATTTATATACGTTTTGCGGCGATTGCAACCCAAAATACGAGGTCAATTTATGCAGTCATGTACAAAATTTCAACATTCTGAGGCTACTCGTTTTTGAGTTATGCGAGATACGTACATACGTTCGTACAGACGCCACGAAAAATTCTCTTCAGAATTAATTTTAAAGCAGTTTTATAATTTTTTTGGAGGAAAAGAGTTCTTTATTCTGTCCTTACATACAGATATCAGGCAAAAACATCGTTAAATTGCATTCGATAGCGGTCAAAATGGATATTTTCGTTGAAATATGCTGCCTGAACCTTTTCGCGATTACAATACTTCCTTTTCACTTTGTACAAGGAAGTAAAAAAAGACCCTCTATTAAAAAATTAGATCTCTTTTTTACGATAATTTATTTATTGCTGAAAACAGTGTTCTTACAAAGAGGCATAAATTGGAGAAACTGGATCACTAACTGTAACATCAGTTGGTGAAGTAAGTAGTTTTTACATATCAAGCTTCTCGTGCCTCTTTGTAAATT